ACGTAACGTAACGTAACGTAACGTACGTAACGTACGTACGTTACGTACGTACGTACTACGTAGTACGTAGTAGTAGTAGTATAGTATATATATATATATATATATATATATATATATATATATATATATGGGAAAGGATCGTATGAGATCCTCCTACACATAATGCCTTATGGGAGCTTGGGAATTGTCCATTGGATCAAGACATTCCTCGAGATAGGGGTCAAGAGACTTGACAAACAAGTTGCTCTGTGGAATGACCCAAAAATCCCTTGCTCCCTATTTTCTAGTGCCACTTGACAGAGAGAGAGAGAGCGAAGAAGAGAGAGAAAGGTCCAGAACTTAGAAATAAAATAGTAATCCAAGGTGAAAAAAAGTTAGTAAGGATGGGAGAAAAAAGGGAATAAGGTTGAGAGAAAATCTAAAATAGAGGAGGGAATGTACGGGAAATAAAGCTAAGGACAAGAGAAAAATTTGAAATAAAGGAGGAGAAAAAAAGTTATGGATGATTTGCTCCACCCAGACGTGGAATTGAAAAGGAAGGAAGGGTCTCGTTCAGTGTCCCATTCCATTTTCATCGATGTTAAATGCCAAGGTTGTCTCAAGATTTTTGCAGCACCCTAACTGCTGTTGTTTGTGAAAATTTCTCGAGAGTATTGTGCTAGCCAACTGGGGCAAAGGCCGGACTCACCAAAGGCTACCCATCTAGAGAGAAGGGTAACTAAAAAATGCCAACCCCACGCACGCCCCCCCCTCCCCCTCCCCCCGTTTTTGTTCTCTTCTTTCCATAAATGGGCTCATAAGTATATGAAAGAAGGGAGGGATTTTGAATTAAATTTTTCAAGTTCTAAAGAGTTGCTCTCTAGTGGGATGCGTGAACTTCTAGTGTTCTATTGCCTCTTACTAGTCCTCCTCCACTATGGGAGGATTGAGATTCTGGATATTGAAGTTGAGATGTAAACTTGCAATTTGTAGCATCATTTTTTCAAAAAATAAAAGCATAAGTTCCATTGATAAAACTTGAATTAAGGAAGAAGAGGACAAGTTCCATTGATAAAACTTTTACTGTTGAGATAGATTTTTAGTGTACATATAATTTGTTAAATTATAATTTGTGACCAACCATTTGTGTATTAACAGTTTCTTGTCATAGATTGGTGCTTCTTGTAAATAATGGTTAATGGTAAAAAGAGATAAATGATTTTCCCCAAGAAAAAAGAGAAAGAGAAATGATAAAGACTATGTGATTCTAGCCTCATGAAAAAGCTTTTGTTTTGTGATGTTTGGAATTGATAAGAGAGAGAAGAGAGAGTGGCATTTTTATGGGGTTTTTGGTCTTTCAAGCTTGGTGCCCTTTCTCTCTCTTCTCTATCTTGGTCCCTGCAGGCAGGCTACTAGAAACAGCAGGAGGCATCGATGCGACATGGTTGGGGGTTCTTATTCCATGTCATGCTATGTATTTTTAATGGTTTACCGGTTGACCAGTTCACCAGGTAACCTAACATGTATACCAAGATTGGCTCTAGATCTAATAGTGGAAACTATGGGTCCTTTAGCACGCTCGTCTGTCATGGACTCACATGATCATCACTATATATATATATATATACTTATAAAAAATCAATGGGTTCCTTTCATGGATCAATACCCAATTGAATAAGAAAGAACAGAAACATATTATTCATGAATTGCAGTCCATATATCCTAGGCTCAGTTTTTTACCGATTTCTGTAATCTATTGGGAGTTTTGAGCTGAAATTTTACATATATGATCCTAAATCCACTGAATCAATGTAACCTATTGGTGGTTGTATGTCAAGATTGAAGAGCGAATTGATGGTTAAAAGCGACTAAAAGAATGGGATTGTCGAAATTTGAAACATGGGAATAGCTCCTTTAATTTTGAATTTTTTAATAGTGATTTATTGCTAAAAGCTACAAATTTGATTTCTTGCTTTGTGGAGTAAGATCGAGCAAAACTGAGAAATAAATGATGAAATAAGAAGACGTTAAAAAAAATTTTGCTTTAAATTCTTAAAAATAATCACTTTTTCAAATCTTGGAATTTTTATCCAAATTTGTTGCAAAATGCTTTTTGAATAATGTGTTATTATTCTAGAAAAATGATCATATAGGACCTTTCCCCATCCATTCGTGTAGGACCTCAAAGGATCACCATTAAATTTGACACGGATCTCTAAAAAAGCCAAATCCCACATTCATGTCATAACTTTTTTAGAGATTCGTACAAAGTTTAATGGTAATTCTTTAGGGTCCTATAGACATGGGTAAGAGAGGGCCCTATAATGTCATTACTCATTATTGTATTAGGCCAAAACAACAAAAAATTGGTGGAAAGGTAATCAGATAAGTGGACTTGGGGAAGATATGAAAACGGAAGCTTTCCAATGGTAAATGCTGATATTTTCTCAACCATAGGCATAACAACTTAACCCGTTTTGCAAAGGACGGGATGAAAATTGATTTTTCATTCACCTATCATCCGAACTTTTGAGCCTCCATCCATGTTTGTATCAAGAGAGTTCAATAAATACCCCTTCTCTCTTTATTTGGAAGGGGATTAGAGAGAGAGAGTGAAAGATTAGAGACTTGGGAAATTGAGTAATCTAAGCTTAGAGAAAGAAAACTTTGGATCCACTTTGGGTCCGAACTCTGATCCAACACTAATGTGAGAAACAATTACAAAAATTTCATAACTGCCCAAGCCCAAATCCTGTATCCGAAGTTTGCCAAAAAATATGTGCAAAAATAATTAGAAATTGAACTCAAGAAAACCCATTTCTCGTGGATCAAATTATTGCATTGGAAAGCCCATTGGCCTTGGAATTGAGGCATAGTGCTCTTCTCTCGAAAGAGAGCAAGGTAGGGCCATATTCCCCTTGGGAGTTAAAATTGTTGAACCCTCCCAACACTGGTAAGGGTTCTTTCATTTTCTTAAGTGAAATTTGGTTTCTTTTCTTTTTCTTTAGTGTGCGCGTGTCATTCTCTGGTTTTCTGCCTTTCAAATTGGGGTTGGAAAAAAACAAATATCACGCACAAGGGGCCTGACACTGATTCCTGAAAATTTTCTACGATTTGCTCTATTTTTATGTTTTGTCCTTTCTAGAATTTTCTGAATTATTTTCAGATATAAATTTTTTTTTCAAAATTTTCAATGTTTCACATTTTATTCTTCGTATTTTTAGACTTTTAGTGCTCTTCATGATTCAGTTTAGTTTCTACTATTCTTTATTTTTAACAAATCTTCTTAAAAAAAATTTATTGCCTGTTTAGGAATGTAAATACATGGCGAGTCCACTTGGACTCTCCCGAGTAATTTGCCTCAGGCCAGGGCCATGTCCAAAGCCTCGAGCCGAGTTTCAAACTCTTAATGAAGAAAAAAAAATAAGTTGACATTGCCTTTCTATGTAAGATGCACAATTTGCAGTCCAAGGAAAAAAACCAAAACATAAAAGAGCACATACATGATCCTCACACACGCAAGATGGCATAGGTGCAATAACCTTTTCATAATTTTTCTAAAATTACACTCTAACTCTACCTACTAAAAAATAAACCAACAAATGCAACATTTGTACTTCACCAACCCACCCAAGCACTACTCAAATTTTAGGGTCTGAGGCAAAGACCCAGTCACCATACAAACCTCCCTCTCAAAAATCATCATCACTCGTAATCATAATGAATTGGACTCATAGGAATTCATCGAACACTTTGGCTAAAGTATTGTGAGAAGCTGGAATGTAGGCCTAGGAGCACGACCCATCGACCCAATGTCTTCAAAGAACAAGTAGCTTAATCCCCAAAAGTTTTATGGCTGATGAATATGCATGCTCATGAAGAATTGGATTGGATAGCTGACATTTCAAAAATGTGTCCTCGATCTTGTTCGTAAAGAATATGTAGGGCATCTTGTAAAACCCTCTTAAACCTACCCAAATCAAGCTTCACATTTTGTTTTTCAAGGTAGATAGACCTAAGGGAAAGCCAATCATGTTTATGTATGGAAGCAGGATCGACCAATACGGGATCGTTATGTGGATATTCTTCTATGAGTGAGCTCTCCTCTTGTTGGATTTGGTACTCGATGTAGTGTAACTTCATATCATGGGCAGGTTCCCCAAAGCTAGTCCTACCCACCCACTGTAGCCCTCCAAGGGGGATAATTTGAATCACCACAGCCCCCAAAGGTAAAAAAACCATGTTTGTTAGGCCAGCTCCATGAACACCCATCATCACATCACATGAATTCACTAAACCTGCGTACCCAGTCATGTTTGTACCGAACTCGGCATCCCCGATTACCACATCGTAGCCTACTGACTTTGCCAATTCCACTATTTCAGGAAAGTTTAGGAATTTCCTCGTCCTTTTCCTGTATATGATCAAGAGCCTTGGTTTCCTTTTTATGAGGGACCCATTTGATATTGTGCTAATCTTGGCTGGAAGAACATTCATCGCTCTCTTCTCGATTTTGTTTGAGCTTATATTTTTTCTCCCTAGTGAATAAACTTCTCTTAGTAGTGCCATGAAGTCCCTTATGGAGTATTTCTCTGGGGTCATTTGAGGATCTGCTCCAAATTCCTTGTGAAATTCAAGACCAACTTGCGCTTTTGGAAAACAATGTGTGCTTTTGTCATGATCCAAGTCGATAACAACACGGTTAGAGAGGTGAGACAGGATAGCACTATATTTACTGATCCACCATGGTTTAATGTCTGAGACTAGGAAGTGGACATGGCCATGGTAGTGACGAGATGTCAAGAACAGGGGAACAAGCACATCAGTGAAGTCATGGAAGAGGTTACCTGTGTAACTCCCGATTGAGAAGACTATGGCTGGAGAAGTGTGGTTTATTGAGCAATCTGGGGTTTCTTCAGCAGTGTCTCGACGCTTAATGGATATCTCCTTTACAGCTTGCATTGCAATAGGGTCGGCTTTGCGAGCATAAGGTCGGATCTTCCATGATTTTCTTTCTTCGGCAGGTGCAGGAGGGGTGATGAAGAAGAGGGTGGATGAGTTGGGGTGAATTCTTATATCTCCTAAGATTTCACAGTACTCTGATCTTGGGTTAGATACATGGCATATAGGTTTGCTATCTTCGTCTTCGTCATCCTCATCCTCTTGAGCTGGACTACCTGCAAAATTTTCACTTTTGATTACAAGGGAAAATAACGGACTTCCTGAAATGCTTAAATCATAATCGATAGGGTCATCATAGTCTAAAAAAATTCATCATGAATGGTGATGGAGAAAAGAGCGAGACTCGGAATCAGTAGTTCCCACCCTCTCCAAATCCGCTCATCATGTCAATGATAGTGCTTAGCAATGTTTGAAAACTCAGTTCATTCGGAGAATTGGTCGTTTGGGAAACTATTCTGGATTAACGGATCAGCGATTCAGATATGTGGATCGGCCTTTTTGGGCAATTTGGCTTTAAAATAATTACCAGCAATTGCTAAAATTTCTTAAAGATAAAATCTAAGACGAGATTTCTAAAGAAACGATGATGCACTATAGATTTTCATTATTTTACATAAAACGTGTAAAAAATGATAACCTATTTCATTTCACAATGCTTGTTGACCATTACATTCATTTCATTGTTAAAATGAAGTTTAAAATATAACTCAATAGATCTATGGTAGCAACTATGAAGAAACCATAATGTTATCATATATCAAAATTCAAGTTATTTTATCGAATGATACTTGTATGTATTGAAGTCCCTGAGTAAAACCATGTTACTCTTAACAGAAAAAAACAATGAGTATAGACAGTATAGATTGTACATTGGAGGATTGTTAGAATCCCCTCGTGCACAACATGCTCATTTAGCTTATACAAAGTTGGAGCCCTTAAATAATATTTTCCTAATTTCTATTGTTGTGTAGTTTCTCTCTTAGTGGAATGTAAATAGTTGCAAGCAAAAAGCTCCTGGTAGGCAAGAAAAAGCCATGTTCGAATTTTATACATAATAATATATTATTGCTCTGATGTATCCAATAATCAAACTCGTGAAAGACAAAGAACAATTATGTAAAATATATTAGAGGAATGTGTAAGAGAAGTAGAAAACAAAGACATAACATGGAGAGTATTTAGGATATTGACAGAGACGAAAATATGAATTGTGAGAAAGGAATAAATAAAGCAAATGCTTTCATGTGATCACGCCGTGGCTCACTCCTCCCTTGAGATCAGTGAGGTACTGTGGATGATGCCAACCAATACTAGAAATCTCCACAAGACCCATAATTTGGATTGATACCTACCTTGCTAAAAGACTTAATCCTAAATAGGGCGTTGGGATAGACATTGGGAGGTAAGGTACAATAACAAATCGTTCACTACTCATATCATCAACATAACCTCTTTTCAAGTATTTGGAGTCGGCTACATGAAAGCTGGGTCACTATTTTATTCTATCAAGGATCATATCCTCAATGAGGCTCACGACTTCCAACCATATCTTTGTTGACCTACCTCTTGTCATTTTTTAGCCTTCCATTTGAACAACTTACACCTCCAAATAAGTATTATATTAGATATGCACTGCATATGATCATCCCACCTAAGTCTACTTTCTCTGACCTTATCTTCTCTTGAAGTCACACTTAAGTTTAGTCGAATGTATTCATTTTGAATTCTAACCTTTCTTGTCTTGCCACTCATCCACCTCAACATCCTCATCTCAACTACACTCATTCTATGAGTATGTTGGTTATTGACTGCCCAACAGTTAGCTTAAAAGAAAGCTCTAGTTGCACATCTTTGTTTCGCCCACCTAACTCTAATTCTATTTGCAATATCTTCTTGAATCTTTCAATTTTTCTAAATTATCGACCCAAGACACCGTAAGTGTGTTTTTTTTTTATATTTTGTGACCATCAATCTTAATTACTTCCTTGTTTCTACTCGTGTAATTATTAAACTTGATATATTCCATCTTAGTTTGGGAAATTTTAAAACTTTAGATTCTAGAGTATCCCTCCAAAGTTTCGACTTTGTGTTGATGCCGCTTCGGGTCTCATCAATCAAAACTATATTGTCTGCATAAAAAATACATCATGGTATCTCATATTGTAGGTGCCTAGTTAAGCTGTCCATAACTAAAACAAAGAGATAAGAGCTTAACTCACTCGTCTATCCATTAGTTGTTCACACACTAATTCGCTCTTTGTATATATCTCCCACCAAGTCGATATAATATCTAGATCGATAAAGACCGTAAGAAGCTCTTTTCCCTTCCCTTAAACGTTTCACTAGATGAATAATATTCCCTAATCATATCAATTTAATATATAGAGCAAGGCATACTTACCTCGTGCACATAGTGTGGGCAGGGCCAGCTATCTCATATAGATGAGATTAGTAAATAAAAAAATAAAAGATTGAAAATTAAAAAAATATAAATAATAGCAAAATAAAACAATTATTGGAATTAGGCTAAATCGCTTCATTCCCTGAAAAAACCGACTTATTCTCGCAGAACCGCCCAATTTTGGATACAGCTGAGGAATTGGAATGGTCTCTAATGATTCCTAAATTGGATAGACGACTTTTAAACGCTGGCGAGTATGATGACTTCCATAGTTCTCATGATTATATTATATTTTCCCACTTAAGAATTGCAAGAAGGTATTGAAAAGCCATTAATTAATGATGATTATAAAAATGCAGGAGACCCATCAAATGGCTCCAAATCCATGGACAGTTTTGTATCCCTACATTTAAATATTAGAAAATTAATCAAGAATAATCATTTGAGTAAGTAAAGTGAAATTTCTAAAAGAAGCGGTATTTCAGTCAATGATTTTATTACGTTACATATTAGTTGTGGCACATGCAGTTTAGTTTTTTGAAAAGTAGGAAATTTGGTTTGTAGAATAAGCAAGCAAGAGGTAAGACAAAATTTCAAACACGGCCAAATTAAGGGCATTTTGTGTAAGTGCGTTTTGAATATATAGGTTCACTATGAAGATTTATTGCACTCTAAATATCATCTTATGCAGAAATTTATCGACAAGATGCCCTCTAGAAAAAATAAGCAAATAAAAAAAAAAAAAAAGGAAAAAGGTGGGCAGCAAATCAATGTTTGTCACTTAACCAAAAATTATAATAATGAACTTGCCCAAAAACAACAAATCACTGTTTGACTTAATGTTTCACTTTCCCACGAAATAAAGATGCGCAACAAAATTATAGTTATTAGATTATATATCTGTGTTACGAGGACCTCACAATTGCTACTAGCTATTAGATACCAAATTGGATGCCTTGGGTGTATCACAATTTTAGATAATGACACAAAACCACACGATTTGAAATTTAATGGACAATAATAATTGTGACCTGCTTGTATTAAAAGTAAATAGTCTCTTTCTAATTTCAATACACACAGTCTTGGATTTGGATTCAGTCGCCCACCATATATAGAAGCACACAACCCTTCCTTTTGCAGTTGGATTTGGATACAATAATTAACATGATCAATTTCAATCTGGGGACTTATGGCCTCACCGAGGATGTGGCCTTTAATATAGCAGAATGAAGAACCAGGATCAATGTAGCCGACTCTAATTAATAGGAAAAAAGCTAAAATGATGATGATGATGATGAAGATGAATTAACATGATCATTTTATCAAACACCATGATAATGAATCTAAAAAAAATATGATTTTGGCCTCTTAAAAATGGTCTATCTTATTCTTTTGGGCCATTAATTCCAATTCTTCAAAGATAATGAGATCATCACTATTTTTAGGGCTCAAAATTCGAGAACAAGTAAAAAGAAAAAGTTTATATAATGTTACAACCTTAAAATGTAGAATTAAAAATGCACCTAAGAAATCCATCGAAAAATATTATTTTAATATTAAAAAATCCTCTAATTCATCATCTTGACATTGAGATGTATGAATATGAAAAAGAAAAAGATTTTTCTCAAAAATGGTGCATCTTGAAGCACATTATCTAGATCGTCCATTTTCAAGATTATCATATGTGTATAGAGATCTACTTGATTTTGACCATTTTTTAAATTTAAAATTTTATAATTAGATATAAAAATGGATTTTTAGATAATGCTGAGAATTTTTATAAAATTTAGACGTGCGCCTTAATTGGATTGTTTAAGTTTGTACCCTTATAGAAACGACACCCTAAGTAAAAATAGTGATTTAGGATACATTTTGAGCCCTAAACCCTTCAAAGCTAGAGTGAATACATGAGCCTATGGACTCACGATGAATTTTCAGTAAAATAGAAAACAATTTTTGCATTGCTTACCTGAATATCGTTGTAAATTGAAAAGGGTTTTTCTGGGAATAAGGATCCCGTGTAATTACCTGATTCAGAAATCTGGACGTCCTTCGTCGCCATATTGAGCCCAGCCCTCTTGGGTACCTTTAGATTCAACGATCCCACTAAAACAAATGAACAAAGACTATCAGCCTTTCAAAAATACCAAAAACATTGAAAGGAACACAATCATAATTGACCGTTAAACATGAAATCAGGAGGTTGATGATGCGTCATTGGATGGGCACTATGTCCAAAATAAAACTCTTTGAATATTGTCACACACTTCAATGTAGTTAGATTTCACATCAAATGGCTAAAAATGGTTGTGATTTTTTTTTTACCTAAAGTAAATGGTCGTACGTATAGAATCTCTTTATATTATTATCGGTCATGCATATGTGTATATTACATTTTAGTATATAGAAAACTATAGTAACTCCAATAAAATCTGGTTCAAAACAAATATAGTAACTCCAATAAAATAAGCAAACAACAAAAAATTTCAATTTTAATAATTTTTAAATGTGTAGTGTACTAAAACCGAATGCACGGACCTAAAGTAATCCACCGGAGAATATTCATGTGGTAACGAGGGCGTTTTTATTGAGATATGAGATTTGTTACCCTCCACTCAAATGATGGACAGCGGTGGAAATAGGGGGAACTTCCGAGGGGCGTATCTTGCTTTGTACGACTGGGCCCGCCCTCTCAATATCACCGTCCATCATTTCACATGATGGTGATTATAGTAACGAACCATGATATTACGTAGTCTTTATCATATTGTATAGATTCTCATTCATGAAAATGTTCATAAAAAAAGGCATATTGTGTCAAAGCAAGATCACGGCAAACGATACACAGGGCGTATGTTGCAGATGATGGAGCATCCACCATCCATTCTGAACAAGGACTACAAAGCTGAGCCTCAGTTCCTAATGGTAATCCACTATTTACAGTGATGGCCAGCTTCTATACACTAGTACCATGAATTTCGAATTCTTTCATGTCAAATATAACTCAAGAAGTGGTTCAGATTCAACATTCAGGAGAAAAAGAAAAAGAAAAAAAAAGGGAAAAATCTGGGCTCTGAGACTAATCACATCTTACCGTTGGGCGCCGGGCAAGAGTGCGGCCTGAGGAGAGAGAAGGCGAAGAGAGAGAAGAAGAAGCACAAAACCAATGCCAAACTGAACAACTTCATTTTTTCTCCCTTCTACTAGAGTGTCTTCCTCCTTTCTTGCTCTCTGCAACTCAAAACCCCTGAGTCTAATTACTTCCACCTTTCAGTTTCTCTCTCTTATAAGGACCCTTTAGATCCTTCCCCATATCTTCTTTTCTATATTATTATAACTAATAATGTATTATAACTAATAATGCAATTGATTGGGACAAGCTAGTTGACCCCTCAAGTGAACCCGAGGGTGCACCTGGTCAAAGCCAAGGTGCAACTGGGCTACAGATCGATCAAAACCAAGCAACGCAACCAAGTCAAGTGTGCAGTTGGGGTGTCCGATCACTTGTTGTAGGGGCTGATTGTTATGCATCAACCTACATTTTTCAATACTAATTTATGGACAAACGATCTAGATCATCCAATGCCAATAAGATTCTCGAATGGCATAGGCAATATAGATTAATTTTGAAGAAAAAGAGAGTGCCATACTTGTAAGATCATTAATTGAGTGATTTACATACGGAGCCTAATTTTTCTAAAAAAATAGAAAATGATCTATTTATAGGTAGAAATTATAAAGAAGGTTGATCAACTCCTTCTTTTTTTTGTTTCTAAATCTTCTTCGGTCTGAATTTTGATTTGTTTTACTGTTTTTTGGTTAGTAGGGTATTGCCTTACTAGCAAAAAAAGTTGAAAAAGAAATAAAATAAAATTCTGTTCAAGGATGTCTTGAGGATCGAGAGGCAATTTTGAAAAAATAAATAAAAAAACTGGTTGACCGACTTTCTTTGTAATTTTCACTTATAAATCAAAATTTTGTATTTTTCATAAGTTTTGGGGTCCGTACGTAAATCACTCTCATAAATTCTCAGTTTCTTGGGGGAAAAATGCAAGAGAAACTTTCTTGTACGAACAAAAAAAAGAAAAGAAAGAAAAAAAAGAACTTATTAATTAAACATGTGTTGGTGTAGAGGAATATACTCCTTACGAGGGAAATACTTAAAAATTGGTTGGCAGAGTGATACTATTTTGCACCAAGAACATGGAAAACCATGTTCTCATTTTATATAAATCCAACAACTACTACGCCAAATTAAAAATGGTTTTCTTCAGTACGTTTCTTGGGGTAGCAATTTCTGAACGTTGAATCGGGAGAATAAAATAAAAGTTAATTACTTGTAAGGATCCTCCAATGGTCTACACACCGAGACTTATGCTTCTAAACAATAAACCATTCACGCCGAACTAATTATTTGTGATGCCTAGCTGTACTCATTTTCATGTGAGGAATCTGGTCATTCACTCTTCTTTCTCTCTAACAATCCCACACGTCTCTTTTCATGATCAAACGCGTGTTCTCTCTCAACCTATTTTACATTAGGAAAATGGTTTGATAGGCCTGCAGTCATGTTAAAATAAGTAAAATCTCATTTTATAACTCATTGAAAATTACAATTCATGCATTAAAAAACCTCTACATGGATCATCTTAGCTTGCCCATTATCGTTGTCAAAAAAATAAAAATTTTAAGCTCTAAAAATAGTGTATATTGTACCAAAATATCAAAACAGTTTATTTTCCCCTAGAAGTAAATGTTCATAGTTTTACCACTTGAAAACTGTTTCGAATAACCAAATTGCAGGTGAGCGAGAGAGGCTGGTAGCAGCGGAGAAGATGGGGAAGAAAGAGGGCGGCGGTAGAGCTGAGGGAGCAGGCTGCGATGGTGGGAGGCGTTAGTTGTAGGTTGGAAGAAGAGGATGGGTGAAAAAGATTGCAGAGGATGGAGCGTGGCGGTGATTGGAGTGATTGAGTGCAGGAGGCGGGTGGCTGTAACAGAGGTATGGATGTGAGACAGAGAGGCCGAGGTGGCTGCAGCAGGTGAGTGATGGTCGCTATGATTGAGGGGTGAAAGATTGTGGCAGACTAGAGAGAGGTGGAAATGGAGGAAGAGGGGGATGATGGGGAGGAGGTCGCAGGGCAATGACGTAGAGTGGGGCGCACGACAGTGGGTTGAAGCGAGTGGGCACGGTGGTGCACGGCAGTGGGTTGAAGGGAGGGGGCACGGTGGTGCACGGCAGTGAATGGTGAGTGCGTGCAGCAGTGGTGCACGGCGATGGAGGGCTCGGCTGTGACGCACGGCGGTGGTGGTGTGCGGGAGTTATCGTGCACGGCGATAAGGTAGAAGTCCCCCACGGCGATAAGAAGAAAGGTATGGATGGACGTGAGGGAGCACAAATAGTGAGAGGGAAAAAGTGAATGTTAGGGTGCACAACAAGGTTCTTGCGAGGGAACGCAACCCACTACAGCACAGCAAAAAGAAGGGGGAGGTGTACATGAGGGACCACCAAAAAGAAATGGAGAAGGTGGACTCGAGGGTGCACAGGAAGCAGGTGGTCAGCAGCCCAACAAAATGTACGGGCTACCAAAAAGGAAAAAAGAAGGTGGACTCGAGGGACCATAGCAAAATAAAAGTTCTTTAAGCAAACGGCATGCCGTGCTTAATAGTGGGTATTGTTGAGCCAAACAAAAGAGAGGAGAGAGAAAAAAAGAAGGGAAAGAAAAAGGAGAGAAAAAGAAAAGAGAGAGAAGAAAAAAAATATGACCTTAAGCTTAGAGGTAACGATCCAAATATTTCTCTCTCCTTCTTCTCTCTCCAAAACATGACCAAACAAAGATGAAAATTTTATTCAATCAAAGTAGGATCTTTTACAATGAGGTATAACATGATATATATAGACTTTCACTCAAACATGGGTGGATTAATCAAAATTTATCCTAATTGCTAAAAAAATATAATTGATTTGAAGTACAGAAAAATCTAAAAATAAAGGCAACATGACAATTTTGCTCTTGTCCAACAATACACAAAATTTCAAAACAGTCCCTACTGCACTCTTGAAATGTGTACGATTTTTCTAGGCCGATTCGGGATTGCTCTGACACTTGTTTGGCTAAAAGATGATCGTTTTCTCATTGGGCTAGGCAAGACGATCAATTTGGTAGCAACTTCGAACCACAAATTATGTTTTTAGGCAACTATCATGCAACTCCAAATTTGTAAGAAACTTGAAAGCTTTGGATCGATATCGTGCACATGTCTTGATGTATTTTCGTGATTTCTTCCCTGAATTACACTGATCATGCCGTCAAGATCGATTTTCAACAAATGCAGCTCGATTTCATTCCTGAATGAAGATTTTACAATTTTTGGGTTTTGGCCGGAATTTGAATTCTGACTGCTGGAATTTTGCAGCAACTTTAACACCTTTCTACACCAAATCTAACCATTCATAACTGGTGGGGCTCGAACCAGACATAGCCCTGGAGCTTACGCACGCAATGTAACTAGTTTCGCGTCGATCGGGTATGCGAGCGACGTGATATAGCCGCTCGAGTGGGTCGTGCTACTGCTAATTTTCTTGCAACCTTGATCAGGAATCACCATCTTCTCTCTATCTTTTCTCCCTGCTCAGGCATCGTCATAGACATTGCCACATATCAAAATGCTCGTATTGACAAGACGAACACGCTCCCAAAATTTGAGATCGATTTGACTCAAAATGCGGGAGATATGAGTCTTCAAAGTTGTTATTTGTGACTGTGAAAACCAGTCTCCATTAATGGAGATTGGTGCAAGGAGGGCGCATAAGAATAGCGTGCGGCCTCTCCTTTTTCAGTCTTTTACCCATGACTTTGTTTTGAAATGTCTGTGTAAGCCGAAATTTGAGCCTAGGGAATTTCAACCATGCCGGATGGTCCCACAACCATTTGACGCTCTGTTAATAGGGTTCCAGTTATAAGACCCGTTTCAGAGTGCAAGAGTCCAATTTTTTTGAAACTGTTTATTTGTCTGCACTACCTTAGACAAGTTGGATTGCGACGAAACTTGGCAGGTGGCCTTTTAACATCCTTAGGGATTCAAAGCTATCAAGAAGAGAGTACACGTGCTACTGTCAGAAATTCCACTGTAAATTAGGGCTTTATTCACCGACTTCTCTTTTATTTCGCATCGGAGACCAAGGTGCTAAAAAATGTCTTCAAACATATAGAGAAAGAGAAGAGAGGAAAAAGATAGAGAGAGTAAGAGAGAGAAGAAATAAAAAGAAAGAAGAGAGAGAAAAGAGGGGGAGAGAGAAAGAGAGAAGAGAGAGACAAATAAGAAGAGAGGGAGAGAGAGGAGAGAGGAGAGAGAATGAGAGAGAAAGAGAGAAAGAAGAGGGGAGGAGAGAGAAAGAGAAGAAGATGTGAGGGAAGATGATGAGAGAGAGAGAAAGCGGTACGTCAGCTTAACCGTCGGTTCGATTGATCATGAGTGAAAGCTAGGGAGAGAGAAAGAGAAAAAGAGGAGAAAGAGAGGGAAAGAGAATGATAGAGGAGAAAGAAGAGGAGGAGAGATAAACAGAAGAGGAGAGGGCGGATTGACGGCTTAGCCACCGATCCTGTTTACCACGAGAGAACGAGAGAGAGAAAAAGAGAGAAGGAACAAGAGAGAGAAGAGTAGAGAGAACAGAAAGAAAAAGAGAAGAGGAGAGAGAAAAGGAAGGAGAGAAGAGGGAGTGTTATTTGTCATTTTTGACACACCTCAGTCCTTCAATCAAATAGAGGAAGAGAGCCGGTTACAGCTCGGTCACCGTGGCCTACTAGACATAGCCGCACGAAAAACAGAAGTCGTAGAAGCCATAAACCTTGAATTAATATGACCAAGGAAAAAGACGCCTACATGAACAAAGAGTCGAAGCCTTATCCCTGCCATTGCAGGCATAGGAGCCGGATAGGCATGCCAAATGACTATTGTCATCTTTCAAGAAAAAGGAAGTGGGCCCGGGCTTAAATGGACAGACCCAGAGGCCATAAGCCTGGACCATCGCAAAGTAAGGCAGAGGCACGCCTTCTGCCATACGGCCTCACTAAACCAGTCGACGGCCATGGCGATTCCTCAACCACCCCTCGACGAGCTCGCAACTTCGTCCTTGCAGCCGAAAGCCTCAAACACCCACGAAAAGCTACGACGAAATCCTTCCCTTTGACGAACAAGCGCAAAAGACAAGCCTCCTCCACGAAATAGAGGAAAGGAGACCTGGGATCACAGGTGCTGGAATATTCAGAAC